GCCTCCTCCGGCAGCCGCTCGGGACTCGTCAGGATGTCGGTGGTGGTGCACAGCACGCGCAGAGAGTTCAGCACCGCTGAAAATACACATACAAGGATCGTTACAACTAACAATTTACACATCTACCATATATTAATATGAAAAGGACCGATTTTAAATATTCTTTTACCATTCAAATAAAAAGCTAGTAACATTGGAAACATATATTTTTTTAATTTAACGCGGAAAAAGTCGCGAATAAAAATTGACACTCAATGAACATGAACTTTTACGTTTTCATGGACTACGGATTTCAGAAAGTTTATTTTGTTAACATAGGCGTTGCCAGGTGAGGTAGGATGGGTTGTTGTCCTCCCGTTGAAATTTGAAACATGAAAAAAATATAAAAACTACATTTAAAACACTTTAATTATTTATTCCCCCTTATCCCTAGATCTGACCTAGATAATCGGTCGTGCTATTCAACTAGCTTATCCCAATAAGATACAGGATGTATGGAAGTAAATACAAAGAATGAAGCAGGTGATTATCCATAGTGTAGAAAGGCGTACTGTGCTGTAGTGTAATGTAGTGTAGTGTATTGTAGAATGGCGTAGTGTGGTGTGATGTTGTGTTGTGTTGTGTTGTGTAACATTGTAGTGTAGTGTATTGTAGAATGGCGTAGTGTGGTGTGGTGTTGTGTTGTGTTGTGTTATTGTGTAGTGTAATGTAGTGTAGTGTAGTGTAGTGTGTTGTAGTGTGTGAGGAGCAGGTACCTGGTCGCATCTCGACGAGCGAGCAGTGCTGCTCGGCCCAGAGCAGCGTGGTGCGCACGAGGTCCGCGCCGCTACCGCACGACACGCACGCGCTGAACGACTCCACCAGCGCGGCGCTCACCACGCTGAACTGAACTCACTCTTCAGGAATAATATTTCACCGCATGATATATTACCCAATACAAGACACACCAACCAGGCTCATATAACCCTAGCGCTGTTTGGATCATATTTTTGTCCTATGAAAAAGGTTTATTTCAATTTTATCTTTTAAATTATCTTACTAATATTATAAATGCGAGAGTTTAGATGGATAGATGGATGTTTATTTGAGTTTATAATCTTAACGACTGAACGGATCTCGATGAAATTTAACATAGATGTAGAGGATAGTCTGAAAGGACACATAGGCTATTTACTTTTGTATTTTTTAATTCCACGCGGACGGAGTCGCGGGCAAAAGCTTGTATTCTATAAAAAAATATTTTACACACAACATCATTGCTGGGAAATAATTATGATATCTTTAACACCATTTTTTCATTTTAAAAAGTAATAAAAGCATTATAACAATATCAAGATAAAAGGTTTTTTGGATCATGTAGATTCAGAGTTTATCTAGTAGAAATAAAGACCTCTTTTTTGTTATCAGTATAGACAATCGACAGAGATAATATCGATGAAGCATCATTTGCCCGCATTTACATGAATTTACATTAAAAAAATATCATTCAACGGAATTTACACATATATCATTCTTATATCTAATAAATAATAATCTGATAAATGTTTTTTAAATAATTACCAGACAAGTCTCCGTGTCATGAGTGGGTGTATTTTATTATCGCATCAATCTAGCCGTGCGTTTTCATTGCTGACACACCTCTACATAACCTATTGATATCTCTTTCATCTGTTAGAGTAAAACTGAGATAACGATATACTTTTACAATTGGCGTCAGTGTACACCCATGATAATCGTGATTTGTCATACATTATGCCAGACAGATATGCGGGTAAGAATTCTGACTTTTGTATGAGTCATATGTTAAGTTAAGGCGACTTATGCTAACTTAACACTTACATATGTTACTGAAACATACAATTGCAAAATGACCATTATTTTAAAAATAGGCGGTTTTAGGGCAAGGTATTTCAAGGCCATCTTAACCTCATGGTGGGAGGCGCCCTGCGGATCTATTTAGACTGATTTATGTGCAGGACGACAGATATTTTTAAGACAACCCTGATGTATTAATACTTCAGCTAAGTATAGAATTGAAATAGAGATAAACATTTCCAAATGATCTATAGATAAATAACCATAACCGTATCTGAAGATTTCTAGGCCACACGTAAGTCGGCGTATCTTGGTGCGTAACTGTGATAACGCACATCGACAGGGTAGGGGAGGGGAGGCGGGCCGGGGAGGGGACGGATCACGTTATTAAATAATCACTAGCGGTGTTTCCGATAACACGACACGATAAAAGCCGGAACGAAACAGAAAAAATGTCTACGAGAGGATACTATTTTTAGAAAAATCTATTACATGACACGATTTGGTATAGCTTAATATTAGTTAAATATCTTTTTGGTTTGCAACTTTAACAAGTATTTTAGGCGTGTAAGTGAGTAATTATCCTAGCATTCTGCTGCCCTATAGGCACTTTGAATGGGATCCGCGCAATAGGTAATGCATATAACGCCTTATTGGACCTAACTTTTTTTAACTACCTATACTTTATTACTATAAAAACATACCTGTAAAGATTTTTTTAATATAATGTGATTTAGTGGATAAATATAATTAAAAAGTGTATTTTTTAAAATTCCCTCTTTAAGTTCTTAAACGCAGCTAAAAAATAAATAAAGAGAATCATTAATTACCACTTATTTGTACCTGGAATAATGAAAATGAATCGGTGTTTGACTTTTGATAACTGTGAGAACCAATGAGATACTTTGTTGCTTTTGACATCGAAGTGACATCTGAGCGAATGTGATGAATGAATTGAATGAAATTGGACGATTGACGTCACGTGTCTCAAGCTAACTCCAGTCGTGTTTCAGCCGTACGAATATGACCGTTATTTTATTTTATTTTTTAGCTCAATGGTTGAATATTTATGAGTCAATATTTCTCAAATAAAAACATGCATATTTCCCATTATTCGTATAGCGTGTAGATATACCCGCCGTGTGGCAATATGTTATTGCATTGGTTGCAAAGGATACGAGCCAGTACTTCCAGTTGTGCAGCGTGCGCGCGGCGACGTGGCGCGCGAACATCTCGCGCAGGCGGCCGGCGCGCGCGCGCGACACCGGCGCGCCCGTCGCCGGCAGCATCGAGTGGCAGTTGCTGCACAACCACACACACGTCTCTTCACAAATAAACATACTAATACTGGCTTTCGCCCGCCACTCCGTCCGCGTGCGATTTAAAAACATACAGACGAATTGAGTACCTCCTACTTTTGGGAAGTCGGACAAAAAGTGAGTAGCCTATGTGTTCTTCCAGACTATCCTCTACATCCCAAATTTCATCGATACCCGGTCAGCCATTTAGGCTACAAACTCTAACAAACATCCATCCATCTAAACTTTCGCATTTATAATATTAGTATGATTGTAAACGGATGGATTAAGGAAATGAACGGTCACTACTACAAAAATCTTAATCTCGATTAATTTTAGCACAGATGTATAATTAAGTCTAGAAGAACACAGGCTACTAAGATTTTTTTAATCCAGCTAGACGAATGTGACTTCTGGCTAAAGCTATTCAGAAATGATTAAAGAAACAATTTATAAATTGGCTTTTCTTACGATATGGAGTTATTCAAGCAATCGATTTGCGCCCGCAAACTCTCCATTTCCTCTTTGATTTGATTTCTTTCCGCCTTCAACTGTTTTATATACTCTGCCCCTTTTTGCAGCATCGCAGCTTTACTTATCTAAACCAAAGACAAAGTAACATGTTTTTGAGATACTTCAAAGAACTTTGTGATAAAGTTTCATTAAATTAAAGTTTGCGATTTAAGATAGCTAAAATCGTCGAAACTCGTACGTGGTTTCAATTTGCGTTTTTAATGCACAAGTTTTTTCAAGTATTTGGAGTGTCAAAAGACATTTAACTATAGTAAATGAGGGAGGGGTAGAGATACCTTAGCGGCGGGGTTGGTGTTGAGGTGCGGTATGAGCGTCTGCAGCGTGTCGAAGCCGTTCTTGATGTTGTACCGTCTCTTCTGCTCCGTGTGCAGATGCGAGCGGCGCGCCTCGCGCGACTCCCGCGGCGAGCCCGCGCGCGGCGACGCCGGCGACCCCGGCGGCGACAGCGACTGACCCAACACTCACTTTACACTCACAAAACTCCTACACACATTTCTTTCTTATGTAGGATGTTAGAAACTATAGCATATTTTAATATCTGAGAGCGCGGCAGTCCACCCGCTTAGGCATGCACGCCCAACTTCTAATTACATTGTGGATAAAGATAAAAGGTTGAAATTTTGAACATCAATAAATATGTCTTTTTTTAAATAAAATTTTCCGCTTTTTCGAAAAACTTAAAGGCATATAATTCCACTCTATAAATAATAAAGTAAATAAGGTAAATCGTTTAAAAAAATCTCTTAAAAAAAGGTAAAAACCACAAGCCAATACCAGCAAAGAATCTTGACAACAATTATTTATGTTGCACATTAGATTACCTAAAACTTGTTTGGTCAAATCTGATATTTTAGGCTGACTCAGAGCAGCTAATGTCTGAGTCTTGACTCAGAAATTATCTGTTTTGTGTTATTATCTTAAAAATTGACAGTCAAATTTAATTAGATCCGGGTATACACGGACTACCGTATTAGGGTAGGCTCCGAGCCCGTCGGTGGGGACATATAGTGAGCTGGTGATGATGATGATACACGGACTAGCAATGAAGAATGTTGCCTAACCCTAGATCTATAACATCGATCATTCTTTAAGTTCTTACAAAAATATAATTTAAAGGCGTAGCATTGCTCACGTTACCTATAGCGCGAGCTGTATATCGCTTTTATAATGTCCCGATAAGACTATCATTTTTATGTTAGGGAACACGCAGCGCGCGCGTGCCTCGTCTCAAACATAGCGATGTACTCTCTTGTACCGTATGTTATTGTTTGTGGATATTGATGTCAATAAAGATATGCAAACATTTACATATACTGCAGTATTTTAAAAACATCTGTACTTATATTATAAAGAAGAAAATTTTGTATTTTTGTATGTATTAAATAACTCAAAAACTACTGGGCCGATTTTAAAAATTCACCTGCAATTTATCTGTAACATAACATTTTTTTATTTCACGAGGAGGAACTCGCGAGAGATAGCTAGTTTAATATAATTTAAATATGTAATTTTATTTTTGTTAAAGCTTGAAGAACAGATTTACTTAATAATGTAAGCGAGCAAACGGAAAGGACTCTAAGTAAATGCAACTATACGATGTTTGCATAACATTTTGTACGTTGAATTAGTCGTGTAACAAAATGTGCGTAAACGTGACGCGGCTTTGAAATTTCCCGCTTGATTATTTATCGTTCAATTATCGAATCGCCTGAGTATTTGAGTAAATAACACGAGTATCAGTTATCTAAAAGGAATATTTATGAAAATAAAGGAATATTCTGAGGATTACCTGATGCGGGGACATAACTTCGTTTTCAATCGGCGAAGGCTGGGCCCTCCTAATCGGCGATTTGGTGGGCTCACTTCCCCCCGCGCCCTCATCGCTACCCTTTATTGTGTATAGGTTTTGAGCTGAAAAAATAATACTTTTGTATTTAAGGCAACATGTCCTAAAATAGTGTTTTGAATTAAGGATTAATTTCGGTCACCCAAGATATAAACGTTAAATTAAAATAAATATAAACTTGGGTTATTTACTTAATTTATTTGTACTTGTAAATTGTTTTGCGAGCGCAACGTTCTTCGTTATCTAACATGGTGACAAGCGCAAACACGTGCAAAACATCGTGCGATGTAATTCAAATTCCAGCCAAAATCTTGCCCTCATTTTTAGTTCTAATCTTTGGGAAATACGATTGTATTGTAATAGGTTTTTAACTAGATATGGTCAGTTTGTTTTTCAAAAAAAAATTATAAATATGAAAGTTTAGATGGATGGATGTTTGTTAGAGTTTGTAGCCTAAACAGCTGAACTGAAACTGAAATTTTTCATAGATGTAGAGGATAGTCTGGAAAAAGATATACTATACCCGTCCGCGCGTAATAAAAAAAAAATACTTGCATTTGTTTTTTTTAATTACGCGCGGACGGAGTCGCTGGCGAAAACTAGTATTGACTTAAATAAAAAAAGCGTGACTACTGAATGTCCCATATATTCGTATGGAGTGTGAGTAGTCAAGAAGTATGCAGTGTGTTGTGTGTATGCACTGACAGTGGTGCGCGGAGAGCAGCTGCGCCAGCATGACGCTGGCCTGCGGCAGCGCGGGCTCGGAGGCGAC